GCTAAGCAGCTCATCAGACATCAGGATGCTTCAGATAGCAGTCTTGGATGCACTGTCTCAGCTTCTTGGGGCAGGGAGGAGAAAGCAGTTGAGTGCTGAAAATTAAAATGTGAATGGTCACACAGCAAAGTCGTACAGTCAGCGTTCAGTAGACACAGTGGTCTGTGTCCTCTGTTTTGAGAGATTTCTGCTTCCAATGGTGTTCCCCATTTTAAGTATAGAAAATGTATCTCAAACCGGTAGAATCTTTCAGAATGGTATAAATGTTAAGTGCAATCCCTGTACTATTCATAAAGCGAGCTTTCTGCCTGTGAAATAACCCCCACAAACCAAACTCCCAGGAAATGAGTAACCATTCTGTTTAGCTAGGGAGTTTTCCTCCCACTTTACTAAGGGAAAGGGAAGTCTTGATTCATCATTCTTTCAGCCCTTAAGCACCTAATACAGGGGTTCTCAAACTAGGGGTTGTGACCCCTCAGGGGGTCACAGGGTTATTATGTGAGGGGTTGCGGAGTGTCATCCTCCACCCCAAAATCCTGCTTCGCCTCCAGCATTTATAATAGTGTAAAATACTAAAAAAGTGTTTTTAATGTATAAGGGGGGTCGCACTCCGAGACTTGCTGTTTGAAAGGGGTCCCCAGTACAAAAGTCTGAGAACCACTGACCTAATAGTTCCGTTCACATACAAAACTTCTACTTGTCATAATCATACCCTTATTCCCCTGTTTCTTGCTTGGAGGCTTTGGGAACAAGTGGGGAATCTGGAGTTTGAGATGTGTGAACTGCTTATAAGGAGTAATGCATTTATACTTTGGATTATAGTCAGTGGAGGAAAAGAGGCTGAGGTTGGATTTTGTGGGATTGGTAACAGAAGTGTCCTTGATCAAATTGTTTAAAACTTTTACAATTCTTCACCGAAAGTTACTGGTATCTCATTAAGTGTATAAGACAACTATTGCCACAGAAGTGGTTTTGTCATGTATCCATAGTTTTCGTGCTATAATGTGCTCAATCCTGTTGAAGAATTGCTGTGAATCACAACAATATGTTGTACTACATATATATGGAGTCTATTCCATTAACATTTTGTTTTGAACATGTTAATATTCATGTGCAGTAACAGATGTCTAAACTTTAAATGGTACAATTACTGCATTAACGAGACCTCCAGTGTTTGATCTATCCTTTATATCTTGTGTTGATACAAAAGAATAATCTTGAAACTACAAAATATAGCATTAGCTGTTTTGGGGGGGAAACCTGTACTCATAGTGAAAGTGTATCTGGCCAGAAGAAAATACTTTAAATTTGAAACAAGAATGCTTCTCAAGGGACAAGATCCTGCTTCAGTCTCCATCGCTGACTTTTATGGGCCTGTGAATGAGAACATCTGAAAGCAGCAAGGTATGTGTAAATGTCCCAGCAGGCAATAAGCGTGCTGATTTCGGATTCACAAGGTAAATGATGTTGGGGGAGGAAGGGATTTATATTGGATATATAAAATAGAAGAGGATGAGGTGGGAAATGAACTCCCTGGTGTTAGTTCAGGGTCCCTGCCAAAAACTAATTCAGATCCTGTATCTTGGCACCAGATGATTAAGGGTTGATGAAATGAAAATAACAAGAGAAATTGAGGTTCTTCCAATGTATGATGAGCTAAACAATAGCTCAGTGAGATAAGAGAAACTTAAGGAGATCTTGAAGGCAAGGGTGGATACCACTGTGAATATGAATAATTTGGTTGCTGTACAAAAGCCACCTCTAGATATTTTATTACATTTTACTGGAGTTGGGAGAGGAGAAATTTCTTTTCTAACATGCCAGGGCAAACAAGCTCTAAAGCTAAAGTTCTACACTGAAGGGGACTTTCAGACTGGAGGAACGTACGTATTTATCCTACTGTGAACGAACAAAGCTTTATCTGCTGCAAAATAATTATTTCCATGGCAGTGGCTTTTGGTCTTATAAACAGGATTGTCTGTGCTACATGATCCAGAGAAGAAAAGCTGTTTTTTGACAGACAAGGTGGACATTCAGTTGTCCCCAATTAGCAGTAGCCATGCCAATGATTTTGTGTGGCTTTTGGTATGTCTGTTTTCTTAAACTTTAACTTGATAGGAAAGAACTTCTAAGAGACCAAATGACTGTAGCTTACTTATGCAGAATTTGAGGATGTAGAAGTAGGAAAGCTGTTGGGAAGTGCAATGGATATAGATTGTGGCTGCTCTGAAAAGTGACTAGAAATGGCACCTTGGGGTTCTATACTGCTCAGCAATACTACACAATAGTTTGGGGGAGGAAGTAGATACCAGATCCAGTTTAAACCGCTGGAGAAATGTAAGTAGGCACGGTGCAGTTGTTCTGGGAATGTTAAATTTAGGCAGGGCACCGTATGATTTTAATGACCACTGGCAGTCAGAACTTCAGTTTTTTTTCTCTTCCAAAAGCCCATCCCGTGAGCACCACAGTGCCTCATCTAATCTTATGCTGGGGTGTTGCCACAGGATGGGGCCCATGCTAATGAAGATTTTTAACCAAACAAAGCAAATGGTCAAGAATGGATATTTAGAAGGGAGAAATCTTCCTCCATGCCATGTAGGAAGGGAATCTGGTCTTATCCTCTCATTTCACTTTCAGAATTCCCGGGTCTGGGAGCAAATCTTGGATAGGTTTATGGTCAGTTCGTTATAATCCATCAGACGATTTCTGACAAACCAAATATATAATTGTCTAAAAACTATGCAAAAATCATCAGCTGGAAAAACCAGGTTATTACAGCCCAGTGGATAACTGTATTTTTAATCTTTGCATTGAAATGTGTTCAGCTACACCTGAAAATAGGCCCTGCCTAAAACTTGTTAGAGGGAAGGTTGCCACCTGTTGAATCCCTAATACTTCTACTTCAGCATCTGGAGCTCTCGCCGAAATACTGGCCTGACTCTGCATAATTTAGGAACTCTGCCAAGATCACAGCTTGAAGTGGTGTGACTGCAGACAAAAGGATTAAGCATTCTTTGAGAATGAGGAAAAGGGCCCAGTGCAAAAGTAATTCACAGAAGGAACAGATTACAAGAAGAGATCTATCATGCAGATTTTAGTTTTTTCTTTCTATAAAAAAGTCATTTTATAAGAGAATCAAGCAGCCAGACTTCCATTGTTTCATCATGGAATGACAAGGAAACGTACGTTAGTAAACTAGAAACGCTGAATGTATTCCAAATGATCAGAAGGGACTGGTGCAAACTGGTACATGAGGAAAGTAGGGAATCAGAAGGTACCATCTAAACAGATGGATTATTGGTCCTCAGTTAAGACATTTTTCTCTTAAATGTCTTGCTCTTCTGAGTACTAGACAGGGCAGGAACATTTTAGTTAAGAGAAAAACACCTTAAAATTAGGATCAACAGATCCACCAGGAACTTTCATGTATTTTAAAATAGGAATTTGCGAGTATTGTATCACACAAACAAGAGTATCCTGATTAAATAAAAATGGTTTTCAATGCTAAATTTCCAAGATCAAAACCAAATACAATAAATATTTATTCATTTCACCATTTGTGTTTTATTCCCTTAGAATGGTACATCGAAAACTGGTTAGAATGCATTCATTTACAAATAGAGGAATGCAAAGAAGAGCCTGTAACGCATGCTATTTTTTAATGCACTTTGTACAAATGACATAATTCTACAGGTCAATGTTGCACATATTAACAGTGTTTGGCAGGTAGCTATTCTGACTCTCCATTGCATTGTGGTTATGAATTCTGCTTCTCATCCTGAAAAAGCCAGTACCTATAGCAGACATTTGTACTGAACGTCTCTGGGACTTCCGTCAATGAAAAGCTTCATCTTCTGTTTGCAAAATCATCATGAATTTTGCAGAACTTCAGGACACTTGACTCCTGAACTCATGCTGTTAATTATTTCCCCCTGGATTTGGGTCAGATAACTTCTGTTAATTCGCTAGCGTGAAGAGTCAGGAGTGCAACATGCATTTTGTTTCAAGGCCTGTGCTCGGTGTGCCAATGCCAACTGCTTAAAGTGATGATTGATGCAGTTTGCTGAAGCAGTATTCAGATGTTGGCATGTGTAACTTGCTTTCTGGTGGGGAAAAATCTATTGGGTCACCCTCTCACTTTCCAATACAGGAAAGTCCTCTGCTTAATATTTCCCAGTGGTTTGACCCAAGTGATTTGGCTTCCATCACTTCCCTAAGAAAACTATTCCACAGCTTAATCTTTCAAGAAGTTTTTCTAATATCTAGCCTAAGTTTTCCTTTAAAGGGTCATCTGATTAGATTTACTTTAGCAAACCCCCATTCTCTGGATAATGTATCTTGGCACTATGAGTCCCAGAGCTGGGGCTGCACCTGTGCATTCCCTGACTGTGATATATTTGGGATTGAGGTTACATAGAAACCCAGAGCTCCTACTTCCCCTACGTTCTTTTCCTACTACAGTTGAGAATTGCTCCTGGAATCCTTTCCCCTTCCAGACTTCATTACAGTGCTCTTTGTTCCTTTTTCCAGCCTGTGTTTGGACAGGTCATTAGTTTGCATTTTGCTAATCTATAACAATTGGCATTAGTTTAGTAGCACTTGGTAGTGTTAGTAGCTTTGCATTTAGGGAGTTGTCTGTGCCCGTGTGGAGCCAAACCAAACTTTGTCTAATCCTACTCTGTTTATCCATCGTGATGGATCTGGAAGATCAGCATTCAAGAAAGCATTGAGTTTTTATATCAATGATGAGAACAGCCAGAGTTCAATCAATAAGGATTAGAAAAAAGCCCAGCATCAGTTGGGAAGTTTGGAAGGGATTTGGGGTAGGTGGGGAGCAAATTCTGGGATACCTCAGGTGAGTGGGGGAAGTAGTTTTTCCAGATGGCCTTAAACACGAGAGTGCTGCACATTGTGGCCAATGTAGTTGCATTTTCTCCTTCTCCCACCAGTACCTTCCCTTATTCAATGTTTATTTTTTCTCTCTCTCCTCCCTTTCCTAGTGGTGGCGATTTATGACTACACAAAAGACAAGGAGGACGAGCTCTCATTTCAGGAAGGTGCCATCATTTATGTCATTAAGAAGAACGATGATGGGTGGTATGAGGGTGTCATGAATGGAGTGACGGGGCTCTTCCCAGGGAACTATGTGGAGTCCATCATGCACTACTCTGAGTGAAGACTACAGGGTGCAGAGCTGCACCTTGCACCACAGGAACTGTCAGGACTCCTCAGCTCTCCACCAGCCCCTACGGGCCCACCCAAGTGAACTGAATGAAGGATAATTGTAACAAAACCACTCTTGTTTTTTGCTTTTTTCATTATACAACAATAGCGATTTGAGTTGTTTGAACAAATGGCTCTTCCAGCTGCCAGCAGTGGCTATGCCCGACGTTGAATAAGCTGACCCATTCAGATGTAGATAGTGGAGATGTAACGAACTTGTTGAGTAGCTGATACTTGACTAAAATTCAGACTGATTCAAGCGTGATCTGGGATCTTTCTCAGGAATACTGTATGCCCCTGTGCTATTACCTCTGGCATTAGTGCCTGGCACCGGGACATCCGGGATGCCAGTGCAAAGGGTTAATGTAACTGGCTAGTGGAAATCCCTCACTTTTTCTACACTCCCATGCAGCTGGAAAGACACTTGTGTGCTAGCTAACATTTGTATTCCTACACAAAGCAGTTCCTGTATCTGACTTCCAGATGGTTCGTTACATCTTTAACGTAAACACTTCTGCAACTGCTCTGCATGTGTAGACTGATGTGGGGGCTCACAGAGCTGGCTTGGGTTCACTTACCTTTCGATAATTAAGATGGATGCAGCACAGAAGACCTCACCATTGTGTAATCTTAGTTCTTTGACTGCCTCAGGTTAGATCTGTGTTATGCACTGGTGTAGAAAGTTATCCCCTTTGGCATGAGCTCCCAGCCTGCTGGTGCAGAGGGGTTAAGCTGAACACAAATGCAGTGTGTGGTGCTGATGGGGGAAATTAAGTTTATAGGTTCCTAGGGAGTCTGAGGCTAACTCTAGGAGTTAAGGTTTGAATCTCTTCGTGCATGCTTGCACGAGACAGATTATTCATCCTAAATGTCAGTATTACGCACAGTGTAATTTTAAAAGCCAATCAGGTCTTGTAAATTGGCTCTTTTTTTACTTTGGTTCCAGATCTGAGTATATGCTGTGACCGCTCTGTGCAGAGGCAGGACAAAGAGCAGTTGTCTTCTTCGGGTCTATACCAAAATCTCCTCTCAGTGGAAGTAAAAAGGGCTGCCATATGTGTTGGTTTTCCATGGAAAGCTACGCACGAACTGCTTGTTATTTTAGAGCTTTTCCCTGCCCCTTCCAGTGTTTATATCTTTCAGAGCTATACGAGCCAGGTGTGACTCACATACTATAAAGGTTTCACATACATTTGGAGGTTGCTTTTTAATACAGTCTCAGATGAAAATGCCACCACTGGAGTTGGCTTCACAGATGAGCGTAAAGACCTCAGAACAGTCATTTGTGCCAGTTTAGGAAGAACTTCAAACAAAAGAGGAGTGTTAACGTAGTTCATTAACATAGCAAACTGATTGACCTGCTGTTGTAGTCCACCTTCTGGAGGAGGGCAACCTATGTACATTTAGTCTGATCTCCCATAATAGGGAGCCATGTTTCTTCCTGAACTATCATTATTTGAGCCCAAGTGAAATTCCAGCCAGTACCAACAGTAGCTTATTCAAGTCTAGATAATGCTGCAGCAGTCTGCTAAGACGTGTGTGTACAGTGGCATCTTGCAGGGAGAGTAGTAGAGGGAACTAACTGGAGGCTGGTTTTCCTTCCTTCCTTAGTAAAAATGTGCACAGTCAAGCCAGTCTCATAACTCAGTATCTCGTGCAATATCTTGCCAGCGATGTGCATTTAGAGCAAGCAGGAACACTTTGGCTAGATGGGACCTTTGCTAAGCTGTGCATCAATCTGAGGGGGCGGGAAAGGAATGGACAAATTGTGCATTTCTTCCTTATACTCTGGATATGAAGTCTCCTTGGAGCTTTTCTGCCTCCTCGTACTCATTCATAGCTGGCACTAGAGCCTAGGTGCTGTCATGAAATGAAGAAGGATGTGAATTAAAGTACAAGAGCTATTCTGGGCCATTTTGTCATGTAAACAAGCCCCAAGGGCATGTCTGCAGGGCAAGTATCAGGGGAACCCATCTGCTCCAATGCACACGGCTAAAGCCCGCCTGCATTGTGTAGTGTAAAGGGCGGACCACCCGCTCCTCAGAGCGCTTGATTATGGTCCCATCTACTCTACAAAACAGATGTGCTTTTTCTGAGCCTGGGACCTCGGTGTTGTAAGTGGCGCCCCGGACCTGGATATGCTTGTGCCATAGACTGGGCACAGAATCACTATTCCTTAAACTAGCTGTTTCTATGGAAACATGGCTGGTGTGGCGAGCTCACAAAGCAGAGGAGTTGTAGAGGCCAGAAGGTCCTGACCCCTCCCCATCAGACAAGATGGTGCAGGCAGCATAAGCTCCTTGCCACTTACGAGGTGATTCACCCTGTAGAGCTGCTGTGGAGGGAGTTTCTGGGTCACCTCCTGCTGGTTTGATGCTTTTTTATGCAGTACTAATGTTGTAAAAAACACTTGTTGGGTTTTATGCATATTTTTTATTTTGTACAGTTTTGAATTCTGTAGATTGTCCAGGGATGATGCTATGTCATGAGCATAGACCAGGCCCAAAGTAATCGGATTTTGTATGTACTGTTACATAGACTGCATGCTATTAACGTCAGTGAGGGTTGTGGTTCCAGTTCTATCATTTATAATCCCCATCTCCTTTTCCCCTTATATTTAAATGGTTACTTCAAAAAGGGGTGGGGGCTTGGGCCATTGGCAAAACTTGCTATTCAAATCGATGCAGAACTTCTCTGCACGGAGTCCTGCTGCCAAAACTGAAATGAAGATGTTACAAGTTACAAGCTGTTGATCAAGCTGTTTTTCTCTCGCTGTAGGGTGGGTTGGGGGGGTAGGAGAAAGGACACAGCAGCCTAGCCCAAAGCAGACTCTAAATAGTAATTCTCCCCCCTCCTGCTTTTTTCCCATCCACAAACGGGAGGTGGGGGGGGGGGGAAGAAGAGCTAGTCCACCATTGCCTCTGCCACGGGTGGCAGAGGGTTCGTTGGTGAAGAAATGGTGCTGTGCAAAGAGGAAGCGCTACTCCCTCCAAAATAAAGTTGTGATTTCCTGAAAAAGAACAAAAATAGTTCCTGCTTCCACCACAAAGCTACACAACGTGCGCACATTCAACGTGCCAGTCTGGCTACAGCTACAGTGCAGAGAGTCGGTCTGGTACCTGTAACACAGCCAGGGGGAGGCTGGGGGCTTTGGGTCCTGTTTCTTTAAATACAGATGTGAATCCACTGGCTGTTTTTGCTCACAGCTGCTGTTCTCAGAGGAGGAGTACACACAAAAAAACAGTGGTTCTAATATCCTGAGCTACTATGGTGATACGTGCCACATAAAAGTTGTGCTTCTTCATGTATTGCTCTGAGGGGGCCTCCTGTTTTCTTGTCCTGCTGCTCAGAGGCAGGGCACGGAGAAGCTTTGCGGCTGTCTCAGTAAAGCAACAGGGGGGAAATAAGTTCCAGTGCCATTTCACAGTCATTTTCAGGGATGGGGGAAGGGAGTGGTTTATTGCCCCATGCTGCTGCACATTCTGGAGAATTACAGAGTATGACTTGACCAGCAGCAGATTACAACTACTCCAAACCAACCCCCTTTGGGGAGGGAAAGAGCAAACAATTAGGGAGGTTCTCATAAGTAATGGTTGAGTTGTTTAGCCCAATGGCTACCCCACCCCAGCAGTTGTCAAACAAGAGTGGCAGGGGATAGAAGGCTAACACCTGCCGCCAATGTAGATTTGTCTCCCTTCTGTCTAGGCCAATTTTGGAAAATTCAGGGGCATCACCTCTCTCCCATGTAGGTCTCATATTCTCCGCCCCTCCCGGGCCATTGATTACTTCCCCTGAGCCTGGGAGGGCCCCTCTTTTCTCACTCAATGTAGCTCCTCATTATTGCGAAGCTGAGATCTGCTCTCCACAGGGAAACGGAAATAGTTGCCAACCAAACTCGTGTTTGCTGTTCATAAGAGGATCATAGTAGCAGGAAAACCCGACATTGACATCCTGTGATGGGGTGACGCATGCTGAAAGGCTCTGCTGCCTGTCTCACAGCCTGTGGGGGAGTAGGCGGTGCTCTTCACACAGCACAATTTGTTCAGCAAGGGAGGCTCCCAGCCCCACTCACCCTCTGCCAGAGGCACCAGTGGACTAGTGTTCTCCTTTTGGGGGGAGAGAAAAACAGCTTTCGCACTGAGGTAAAATAAACCCTGCCCTTTGATGCTGAGTCCATCATTGTCCCCAAGCTAGGCTGTCCGGTAACAAGCTCTGAGCACACACCTTGGGGGCTTTTCTGCTGCGTGCCAGTGACAACTAGGATGTGCTTGTTCTAAATGGCATGTTCCTTGTTTTTTCAGTCTTAGCCCTCTGCCCTAATGTTAAAGCATAACCTGATGGTGCGTGTTCGCCTACAGAAGCGGGGGCTGTGAAACTGGAGCACTGTATACGTTGAAAATTACTTACAGCTCTGCGCTATTGTGCTCAGTGATTGGGTTCTAAGCTGTGAAAGGTGAAGCCCAGTGATCACAGTGGGACACTAGTAGCTGGTTTCCAGCTGGAGTGAGCAGTGCTGGGGGCAGTTTTGGAAAACATGAGCCCTAGCAGAGGATAGAGGAAAGTGCACAGATGCTGCATTTGCCAAATGGGGTAATCTTGCTTAATGCCTGTTTGGGACCAGCCAAAACCAAATTCTGAGGGTGGGAGAGCACGAATGGAATCAAATTCTTTTAGATCTTACTGTCTTATCACATAAGATACTAATTTCCCACCCCCCTGCAGCATAATGCTGACTTAGTTGTAACGACATTTTTCTGGGTAGTGCTCTAATACACAGTAGCTGAACTCACTCACTAGTTCCATGGGCCTAGGTCTGTATTTTGAAACTCCAAAAATTATAGTGTGGCCCTTTGATGCTGAGTTCATCATTGTCCCCAAGCTAGGCTATCCGGTAACCAGCTCTGAGCACACACCTTGGGGGCTTTTCTGCTGCGTGCCAGTGACAACTAGGATGTGCTTGTTCTAAAAATAATAGTGTGGCACCATCTTTGGGAAGATACTTGAAAACTAAATCGATGAACCCAGGTTTTGAGAACAATTCACAGAGA